TTGTTTCCCTTCTGACCTTTGCCCTGTCCTTTGCCCTGCTTGCCCTTCTTGGTCTTGCCTTTCCCCGACGGTGTGGCTGTAGCTGCATTCGGAAGCAGCTGCTGCTGTGGCGTCAAAGTACTGGCCGGAGATGCTGTGGTCAATGATGGAGTGGACAGGCCCATCACTGGCACCTTGACTGGTGGCTGCGAGGCGGAGGCTCGAACTCCCACAGGCTCCTTGGGACTGGCTGCTTCTTCGTGAATCTCCCCCTTCATGGCCTTGGAAAGACTTTCCTCCCGACTGGAAGTATCCTCGAATATCCCACGTTTTGGCTGGTCCTTTGTATCCATCGGCTCGGCCTGTTCCTTCTGCATCTGGGAGGGCCGGGGGAAGAGGCTCAGAAAGTAACTGGTTTCGGCTCTCGTCGGCGGGGCAATCCCCGGCTCGTCGCCCATCCACCAGAAGAGCAAAATAAGCCTGTGTAAGGACTGGGCATCTGTGTTAGCCTTCCTTGTTGGCACTTTACCACAGTACAAACAAGCTGCACTCAAACTGATGGGCCTGACCAGAGCTCGAACACGATTCCCGAGGGCCTCCCATAATACACCATGAGTTTTCTTGTAATGCGAAGCTGCATAATCTGGATGCACAAACCACTGCCTGCACAAGCAGCAATGATGTTGAAGTTCCTGAAGAGAAGAGGAGGAACGTCGCAACACTCCAAGCCCAGAAGTGCGTATAGCTTGAAGAATATCCGAGTTCTGCACCCAAGGCTGGACGGCTGATACACCAGCAGGTAGGGCTGCATACGTGGCGTGTGTAGCCAAAATTTTGCACCGAGATTGCAGCAGATGCTCATATAAGTTGCGCCAATTCGCAAACTTAAACAAACAGTAAGCACAAGTAGGCACGCCATCAACTGCATGCATGCGCACTGTTTCAAGCGTTATCTGACTACGGTTCCAGTCCTCAGGCAGATCTTCACGATGCGACTTTCGTTGATGAATGCGAAGACTGCGAACATCGTCAAAGGTTTGATCACAAAATTCACAGGCATACTGATGGTGAAGATCAGAAGGAAAGTTTTCAGGTACTGACATGGGCGATGTTCGGTAGGTTTGCATTTCGTGCAAAAGTTGTCTGTACCACGACACATATATGGGCCTGCACATAACATCCTCGGAGTTCAAATCATCCATCAATTGCATGTGATAGGCCAGGGCATTAGTAGTCATGAACTCGAAATGAGCGCCCAAATCCTGCATTCCTAGCCTCTGCATCAAGCTAAGGTTTGTCTCCGAGGTGAGGTGCACAGGAGATCGAGCAATCAAACGAAGCTGCTTCATACACATGCCATGCATACGGACAAAGCCAGGGGAACTCCATCCAATACCCAGTAGACCATAAGTCGCTGAGGATAGCACGATGGTTCTCCACAGTTTGATTCTGTGTGATAGCGACAACACATGGTGACCCAGGAGAATCTTGCGTATACGCTCAAAGCTAGCACGAGCGACACCTATGCGTCGCTTCCAACTCAGCTCCTTAAAGCCCCCGTAGGAGAGAACGATACCAAGATAGTCCAGCTGCTGGACCAGTGGTATAAATTCATTGTCCTGGCCAATGGGTACACGAAGCCACTCACCACCTCGAAAGGTGGAAGTCCAGAGCTTCCGCAAACTCTGTGACATGGAACCACGTAAGGACATGATGGCGTTGCTTTTCGTAGGATTCACCTGTAGTCCAAACATGCGCAAGAGCCGAATGAAACTCCCAAACTGTCTCAAAGCACACACAAGATGCGACGGCTGATCAAGTATCCAACTCAAATGTTTATCATCAGCGAAGAAAACAACTTCAGGTTGAGTGGGATCTTGGCTGATGAGGCATTGGAATTCTTCATAGATCAGTCCCGTAAAGAGACTCCATAGAAGGGGACTCAGCACACATCCTTGCCTCACGCCTCTTTGAGCACGAACCTCGACTCGGGCTCCTCGATGCTCAAGCACGTATGTGGTACCGCTGATCCAATCCATAATTCTGTCAATCAAAGCTTGGGGTGCTCCCGTTCGTTTGAGAGATTCATGTATCAGCTCCCAGGGTGCAGTGTCGAAAGCCTGAGATAGATCAACCGATATTTGCAGACACGCACAGAAATCACTTTGCTTAATAATGCCCTCGCGTCTTTGATGCAAATTGTGAGTGTGAGCCCGAAGAAGTGTGCGTGCTCGACGACAGTGATCTGCCACTTGAATAATCGCAGAATACGTCGACCGATGTGCCAGGTAAGCATGTTGCGGCTTGCCACGCAAATAAGACATAGCATACGGCTTCAGATCCTCAGCCAGAACTTTGATGTAGCCCTTTGCCACCGGGTCTTGCAGTCCAATGGGACGTAAAGACGAGATAGCACCATGTTTTTTACCCGGTTTGGGAATCAAAGCAACATGGGTAAGATTCCAGGATTGTGGCATACAGGGTCGACCGACACCACTCATCCAATCAGCCACACGATCACCAAAATACTCGGTAACTGCCTTAAAGGCAGGAGCAGCTGGGTGGGTGGTTGGCAAAGCCTTGTACGGCTGTATGCTGCGGGTAGAGCATTTCAGCTCGGTGAGATCAGGTGCATAGATGCGAGGCTCCACTGTACCTTCATCAATGTTCGAACAACTTCGCAATACAGGGCATTGCCAGCCCTGTGGTCTGTGCCAAACTTTTTCAAAATGAGAACGAAGTAAGCACAGCTCTTGGTCGTGGGAAAGAATCGAACCATCTTCGGAGCGAATTTGCACAGATTGAAAGCGCTGTTTGGGTGCAAGTCGACGGACGATTCGGTAGAGCACAAATGCATTGTGGGAGGCAGCAGCCTCTTCCGCCTGTTGGATCTGATCTAGATACCTCTCCCGCTTCACCAAGCGCCCATGTCTTTTGGCCTCTCGGCGCATGGCCTTAAAACGACTCGCATGATGCCATTGAGCAAAACAGGTGGGAATGTCGAAACTTGCTCGTCGTTGGTATAGACGCGAAAGCTTGTAGTGGGCCCACATTCTTTTTATGGAGCCCGCCAGTGAGGGGTGATTCCATGGCTGTGGTACTCGTGACTTAGTAGTCGGAAAATGCTCTGCACAACAGACCATAAGCTGATTTCGCATCTCATCATACGTGCTGAGCTCAGCATCCGCAAACTGTCTGACAGCGGCTTCAGCAAAGGCTTGATACTGTTGAGTTTGCAGATTGTAAGATTGAACCAAAGCCGCCCGATCATATCGAATAGAGCGTGTTTTGGCAGGCCACCAATTTCGTGGTAACGATAATCCAGCAATGAGAGGGTGGTGTTTGGTGTCTCTCCAAGCCATAAGAGATGAATCGTACAATGGTCGAGATCTCTTTGCACGGCCAAAAGCATCGCCACTACGAACAAATATAAAATCTATCTGTGTCCGACTGGCACAATGTTGATAGGTGAAGCTGGGGCGGCAATGAAAAGTGTTAAGAGCCACCAAATCATGACGCTCAGCAATGTGCAGTAGCGTGTTGCCCTCTCGACCATGGTCAGGGTTGGTGGAGAAGGGACACATATGGCATTGCCAGTGTGGGGCGCAGCGTACGGCAAGGGCTGATTGAAGTCCCCACCCACCACCAAAAGATTTCTACCCGGCATCGATTGAATAAGAGTATCCAAGCGATTGAATAGCCTGCGACGCTTGTCCTTGACAGCTCGACTAGGATCTGAGGAGGCAGCATGTTGATAGACATGAAGTATATCCACATTCCTGTTGGGGAAATCAATCCTGACATGAGTATAAGGCGACCCTGCAGGACATTGTGAACACGGACCTGCTCAGCACTCACACCTGGGACACGAATCAATGTGAGCAAACCAGCATATCTGTCTGTCGAGCCTTCCGAGACACCATTGTGATACGCAAGCCAATTGCCGTGCCTATATTCCGAGGTAAACCCCCAGTGAGACTCCTGAATCAAAACAACGTTGGGTCTCGACGCCTGAGGGATCTGGTCAAGCCACAACAGAAATTCAGGTAAGACCGCAGCTCCAAGTCCACTCGAATTCCAGGATACAATGTTGAGATCAAGGACCTGCGGATTGTGCTGCCACGTGCGAAAAGTCCCAGGTCGCGGAGCTCGGTCATTGGCCGATGCAACCGCACCTCTGACATTCAAAGATCTGGCCGTACACCATCTGCCTTTGTAGAAAGTGCCACCAGCAACTTGCGCCCTCCGCTGGGCTCTATGAAATGCTCTTTTCTTAGCCGTCGACAGAAGTCTTCCGCCGCTTGTCGCAGTCGCAAGAAGCTCCTGCGATCCTGCCTCTGCGGCGTCAGAGGCAACCCTCGCTCCTCCGACCCTCGAAAATACCGTGAGAAGAATAAGAAAACTGAGCCATCTGGACATGAGAGGAAAACGAAGACGAAAGGATCCAGACAGGGGGTCGGCTCGGGACTTGGGACCCGAGGGCTCATCAAAAGAAAAGGGTGTGGTTCGCTGTGATACAAAGTCAAGTGATAAAAGAAGATGAGATATACTATGTGTGATTCGTCCGATTCCAGTGCCCCACAGCCATAGAACACATGACCATATATGTTGCCAGACTCTGGGAAAGTGCTCAATCTGTGACCGTTCAAACTCATGCAGATACCCAAAGTCTGAGAAACATTCCCGCAAAAAGCCAGTGGTCATCAACACCAACGACCACATAGTGCTGCAGAGCAAAGACATCAAGATTCCGGCCCGGGATGTACATGAGGAAGTCCAGAGAATCTGGAACATAACCTGATCAAGCTCAAAGCAGCAACTTCTGCAGATAAGGAAAATAAGAAGTATAAACAGCCCAGTCAAGATCGCACATTTCATGTATGCGGGAGGGAGCGAAGGCTGTCCGGAGGTCTCGGCCGCATCTGGCTGTACATTTACCGTAGGCTCACCATGGGTCCCAACATCAACTGATATAGCTGCATGATCATCTTCAGCAACTGCTGTCGGCATCATCTCGTCGACAGGCGGGTCATGAACTGCTCGTGCTTTGGCCGTCGCAGCTTTGATCGCCTCTCGTCGTTGCTCCATGCGACGTCTAAGGGCCTCGCGCTGTGCTTCAAGCAAAGCAGCGCATCGCTCGTTCATGATGCGCCGCTGGGTTTCCGGGTCAGGGCCATCATTATTGTCAGCGGTCGGCAAAGAAGGTGGCCCTACACCAGTACGTCCTTCCCCAGACGAAGCAGCTGCCTTGCACTTAGCAGCCCGTAGCTTTGGCGCATGAGATCGGCGAGAGGTAGAGCCTGTGGGCTTAGACAACTCCCCTGGCGTAGCCAAGCTTTCCCGAATGGATCCTCTGGCCTTCTTCGGGAGCGTCCGAGCCGAGTTGGATTTGGCCTTGGCACCAGAGGAAGCAGCCACAGCCGGGGCTGTTCCTGCAGGCTTCCTGCCTCCCTTCCTTTTGGAAGGAACATGACGAAGAGCTGGAGGAATCGGGCCGCTGTTAGTCCGTGTATCATCGCCGGACACACGTCCAAGCACCCGCGTGGGGAAGACACCATGTAGGCCCTGGGCTGCATCTCCTGGGGTCTCATCATCAGTATCCATGGGCTGATCGGCCGGGACGGGGAAGGTTGAAACATCCCAAAACTGTATTGGCCGACCTTGTATGGTCAGCTCCACCAGGTGACTGCCCGTAGGGACGTCTGGAAGAGCATCCATCATTCCTTGAGAAAGTCCATGTCCACCACGGAGTCTGGGCAGAGAGGCTTTTTCTGGCCTTGTGCATCACGCAGACGGGCCTGCAGTTTCCTCAAGCGAAGCAAAGAGGAGGCCTTCAGGTGCTTCAGCCTTGGCAGAGGTTCACGAAGGCGAAGCCGAGGAATCGGTCGACGAGTCACAGACTGACTCCCAGCCGCCAAGGTAGAAGATGTAGCCGTCAGAGGCCGTCTCCTGGGAAGTGCTGGCCGTTGATCCCAGGATCGCTTGGGTTCCGGGGCCTCCGGTGTGTAGCGCTCCATCGTGGGAACAAGAGCCGCCGATACTGAAGATGAAAAATTAATGCAGGACCCAGGCTTCATGATAAGCAAATATGCATAAATGAAGATGGCCAACAGAGGCTGCAACGTTGTTACAAAAGTTCCAAGCTGGTACATCAGAATGACAACACAGTCTCGAGCCTGGTCTGTGGAAACCACAAAGGTATGAATGCATAGTTGCTGACAACCACTGCCAGAGACATTGCACGAAACTTGAAGCTAAGCAGGTAATGAGTACCAGAGTGCCCGACCATCTGAGGGCATCATTGAAGACGAAGAGGGCATAGTGTCCATATAAGGTGGACCTGAGTGGGAGCCAAATCCCAGCGAACATCGAACACTGCGTACAAAGATAGCTTCCAGGTCCCAAGCCCAAGAGCATACAGCGTCCTGCCAGTTTATAGAAAGCCACAGCACCCGCAAGAATACCCTGACAGATAGGCTGGCACCATACCAGCAAAGTAGGATGGGATCGCACCTCAGAAGCCAGGTTGATATCCAGCGGCCAATAACCCAGAGACATAAATAGGCAGCAGACTGTGCGCCATGTGAAGATCTCTCCTCCGCAGACTGGCTACGACCACACCATTGACTATAGTACGTCATATACAGCATATCCTGCATCAAGCAATAAATGCCCAGAATATAGCTCAGGAAAGAGGCACAAACCAGCCTTCGCACTGTCATCCCAGCCTGGGTGAGTGGAATACCCAATGTGTCAAGGCATACTGCATACAACTGATAGAGTTTTTCCCAAGCGAGCCCAGAGTATCCACACATCCAATTGCAGATTGCACATAACTGGATAAGCTGTACAGGCAATAGCCACACCAGGCCTTTAGGCATCGCTGTCAAATTCATTGGTATGTACAGAGTCAACCGGCGACATGTGATCCAGCTCCAGATCCATCGAATCATCGGTACAGGCTGCTGCAGCATGATTCTCCCCCAGCTCATCCGAGGAGGGAGGGTCAGAGCCAGCTTCGTCCATGGGTGAAGGATGATGTGGCTGCGCATCCAGGAGCCGTAGCGGCGAGAGTGGAACAGGATCAGTTTGGACTGCCGTGTCCACAGCGGAGCGAGGGCCCGCCCTTCGCCTTCGACATCCCTTCCAAAGAAAGGAGCGGCGCACACGCGTAATTCGCAATCGCCGCTTCCCACGTCTTGCCTGATCCTTGCTGGGTCTCGGTCCAGACGCAGCGATGTGTGGTGCCTGTGACGGTCGTGGCTTGGGCCTGGTCTGACCACTGGAAGAGGCAGCAGTGGTGCCAAGGTGATGCGGGGATGAGTCAAAGAACTTCGGATAGTGACCCGCCACCGGTTTCCGAGAGGCCAGGTAAGGAATAGCCATCGCGTTGTCTTCTGCTGTTTCCTCCACTTGGCCCACTCCCGAGGAGAATTCGTCTTCACCATATAAGGCCCTTTGTATTTGCAGAGTCCGACGAATTTGGGCCGGCGCTGGCTCCGTGAACAATGGCATGGCCCAAATCCCAAACTCAAGACGATACAGAATAGTCTTGTGGCTGATGCCGCAATGCTGGGATAATAAAGGCAAAGGTACCAAGTCTGTGATCCTCGTGCTAATATTTGCAGGACAATGAGCAATGGCTGCCAACATTGATAAATAAACTCATACACAGCAAGAAGCATGCCGAGAGAATCCAGACCCAGTTGTGCATACCGACACGGCAGAAAGAGCTGAGAACATGTCAGGGCAAATGTTGTAAGGCTCCAGCTGAGGCAGTTGCCCATACGCCAGGTGAACCACAACCATGCTAACCTGCAGGTGTTGCGCAAATCCTTGCCCAGACCAAGGTTATTGAATCGTACATGCCAAGTGCCTCGTAGAAAGCCACTCAAAAAGTCCTCGGGACATCCCACATGCCAAGGTCGACAGGTCGATATCTTAATCCTGACCACATCGTACAATGATGCAAGCACACACAGACAAGCATGCAGGCCTTGACAAAGTAGAGTATGTGCCTGAAATGACAGTTGTGTTCTGAGCCAGTGGCCAGCTGCAAGAACAAGCAAACCATCGTCACTTGAACATGTACCACTGCCAACACTCTCCCAATGTGCATGTAGAGCCTGACACCATGTGTACAGAAAGCTGGGTCTGAACAAGCTTTTTGCAAAAAATCCACGGCTAAGGCGGCGATGCACCCTAAGCACTCTACGAGCACGGGGCTTGCTTCTCCGAGCAAGTAGTTCCTGCCAGCGGGATGTACGCCACAATTTAGTCTTTGGATGAGCCAGCTCCTGACAGAGTCGTGTGTCCTGCTCATATGGAACAGCGGCACGGCAAAGTGCAGTTGTGCAAAAGGAAAAACCAGACAGCACATCTGCATTACAGATCGGTCCTGAGTCACGTTGTTTTTGAAGACGGTCTCTGTGATCTTGAATGTACACAAGAAGTAACGTACGCTGCAAAGGCGGACTGATCTGATACGAAAATACTTGGTTCATCAATGCATCAACAAAGTCATGATGGGACGGTTGATAGTCCTCCATCAGTGCCGCTTGTAACCTTTGGCTGGCATCTGTAACGTTCGGTTCCTGCACCCAGGAGCCATCACCAGATGTAAATATGGACGGTGAAGTGGCATTGGTATGACAGAGTCCCCGTTCCGAGATAAGACCCGAGGGTCGAGATCGCCGTACAGGTGCCTCCACTCCACTGCTGTCACTAGGACAGTCCAGACAAAGATCTGTGCTAGGACTGTATAAAGGGGAGCGCGATCTGCTTCTGGGCATACAATGCGCACCCAGAAAAAGCATGAACAGAGTTGACAGAGGCACAGCCATGGGACGCAAGGAAAACATGTTTATACAAAGTTGAGAAGATGAAAAACAACATGGATACCATAACAATCACACAGCATCATGCTCCTGGCAACAAATGATGTTATGATAGCAATTGCAAAGTCATGAAGCGAACCACCCCCGAAGAAACAGGAGTTTGAGCCAGGAGCTTTGCAATGCTCCTATTTTATCTTGAGCCAAAAGTACTGTACGGTAGGACATGTTGTACCATCCCATTTGAAGATACTCGTCCGGAATCACCCCTCCTGGGCGGAGGCGATTCAGCTGACGTCCACTTATAAGGACACTGTACACTATACAACGGCTTTGGCTAGGCCGCTTCTACCAGAAACTATATACTTCGAAGCCCATTCGCTTCAGGCATTGCTCGGCACACTCTGTGGCTAACGACTTGGTCAGCAGGAGCTTGGCGTCGATCTTGAAGAGCTCGAACTGGATCCACAGGTATCTCGTCTGCACGTGGCGGGACTTGCCCAACCCGAGACGGTTGCAGGTGCCCAGCGCCGCAGCGCTGACGGTATGCACCTGGAGCTTGACATTCAAGCCCCATTTGCCAACCAGCAGCTCCTGAGTGGCCATGCCACTCACCACTCCTTTCACCAGAGCGTAGTGTTGGGCCTCGCCCGAGGATAAGGAGACAGTACTCTGCAGATTGCTAGAGTGTCTCACCTCGTGCTTGCCGTAATGGCACGCTAACCCGGTGGTGCTTTTCCGAGCCGGCAAACAACCTGCGAAATCGCTGTCCGCGTGGACCGTGACAACCTCGCTGAACCTTTGCGGCGCAAACCTTTGCACCAGACGCATGGCACCTTTCAGGTACCGAGCTACTAACCTCTTCATTTCTCCGTAGGGCTTTGCATCTTCCGTGCTAAGCTGCTAAGCACTTCACGGCCTCAGACAGGTCTGGCCTGTCTTGCGCCAGGAACGCAGCTCGCATGACCAACGAGCGGATGCGTTCTGGCTCGACGCTAGCTCCAGACGCTTTGCAACGTCCTCTGCCTTCAGGTTTTCGCTTGGGCTCTTGACTGGCTTGCAGGCTTCCATCTCCACGTCCGTCAGGATGATCTCTGCATGTCGCGGGTCCGGCTCGTTGGAGATCGTGCCTGACCTCTCGATCGTCGAAGCGAACGAGGCGGTTCAGCACGCAGAACTCCTGCTTCTTTTCTCCCGGCCCGATGCTTCCATCAACCCTGAGGTCGTACTTGAATCTAAGCACTTACTCGACATAGGCTTGTCCTTGCGGTCGTCTGCCAGGATGAGGCATGCACCAGAAGACGTATCTCCCTCTCCTTGTCGAAGAAGATCACAGGCCATGCTGGGCAGCGCTCGAACCCAGCAGCAAGGAGCGCCGCGGTGTAGTCTGCTTGCCAGATCGCCGCGGCATCCCTCGTGCCGTACATGGATTTAATGAGTTTGCCCACCATCCCTGGCGCGCGGTCTCCCTCCGGTAGCGTTACGTTACGAACACATCCCTCTGCGCCTCACCGTAGAAGTGGGTGCGGGACCGGGATACGTCGATGAGACGCAGCTTCAGAGGCGTCCGACCTTTCTTAGAAACCTTCAAGGTGACCATGAGCGAGAGCAGCAGCTTGACAGCTTCCAACGGTGGCATCGCGCTAAAAGAGGCGTGCTCCGGGGTGAACTCGGCGTTTTGCGCCCCCTTCACTTCCCGGCATACGAGACGAGACCTGTTAGGTCTGTCCCAATCGCCTTTATTG